ACGTTTATGATAAAATTTTGGAAAATGGGCGTGGCACTGCCCACTTATGACCACGTATATGTATCTCGCTAACCGTTCTAGCAATTTGTACCAAACTCGGTATGGTTATTGTGCTTGCCACATAAAAGTAAACCATTGAAAATTGTTGAAATCGGACTAAAATTACGGCCGCTTTTCATAAAGCGGTAAATTTCAGAAATGCTTGAAATTTCAATATTTTGAAATTTAAGGACGCTAGTTTACTTCAAATTTATACACGCCGGCTTATCATGTAGCGGTAGCTTTCGGAAAGGTGGAAAACATATATTTAATACTTGCGCCGGGTATTTAATGTTTGGCTCCGCCCGAACTTAGACTTTCTTACTTGTTTTGGTAGTATTCGCAGCAAAGAAGGCCCTAACGACCATCCAACCCCAAAAGAGTTCCGGTATAGGCTTCGTAAAAATATCTTGTGTAATTATTCTAAATTTTTTTAACATGAGAATTTAATAATCAATGTTTAAATTTTCATACAGCAAGAAACATTGAAAACTTGCAGAACACTGGCAATGTGGAGCAAGATTCGACCGAATGGCTGAACTCGTCGAATCCGCAGGCTTTTTGTGACACTGAAGCTGATGGCGCACCCAATGAGACCGGAGTTGAAGATCCCGAAGTTGTGGACGCATTAAGCGGCGTAAATATAGACAACGATGCTGGAATTCTTCAGGAAGATGCGTTGGAGTACTTGGCGGGTTACATAATCCGAAAACAGCATCTCCACGAGCATGAGGATTCAAATATCGCATCTTTTACTTGGGTGGATCAGGTTTCAAAGGGATTTTTGGAAAAAACCCTCTACTAATTTCCTAAATGGTGTGAAGTGTCTGGAGGCAGTTTTTCACACAGTAAATTCAACCGAAATTGCGCGTTGCAGAAATATAAAACAGCACTTACTCGACCAAAGCACACATGTGGATCTTCCGGAAAATGTGAAAAGATTTTTTTTTAAGTGCCGCATATTTTTCCGCGTAAGACATTTGAACAAACGCCTGCAGGTGCAGAAAGCTAAGCACAGGATGTTGCGCTACAAAAAGTTGAATAAAATAACTCTCTGATCTGGTAAAGAAAATACTTAAAGCTTCTTAAATAAATATAAATTATAATTTTATTTCAGCACAGCCCAATACAACGATAATTAAACCACAGATATGTACTTTTGGTGAGTGACACTTTTAAACCGCGTACAGTTTCATAAACAATATAAATTAATTTAATTTCAGTAAATACTTTCAACATTTCAAAGGCCCTTTTCAGAGCCGCAAAAACTAAACAAAGAGATCAGATTTGCAATAAATGAATGTACGCTTTAAAGGCCCTTTTTAGGGCCAAAAAAGTTCGCAGAGATAAAATTTTAGTGAATGCTTGCAAGGCCCTTTTTAGGGCCACAAAAAACTTCACAAAGAGATCAATTTTGGCCATTTAACAAACAAATTTACAAAATTTCACAGCGTTCAGATAAGCTGTGGATTTTAAAGTTGTTATTTCCTTTTTTACGTATACGCAATACCTGATTTTTGACCAACAACGAACATGCTATGAAAATACTGTCCCAACATAAAAGTTTGTGCACCATAGGTGGCTGCCTGACCCACGCGTCCTGGCACCTTCAATAATAGTCCACCAGAGCTGCAACCAGCAGCTGTATTCCCGTTACTATCAACACACACTGCTCCAACAATATCAAGGGCACTAACTTGAGCTGAGACAACTGGTAACGTCGACATTCTATTACTTGTGCTAGTGGTTCCTTCTGCTGCGGGTGATACTGCCGCTATTTTAGATTTGTAGTGGTTATATGAGAATTTCGCCTTGGAAGAAATCATGGCGCTGGCGTCGATCATCGTACAACCTAGTTCTTCAGCATACCTTTCCGCGCTACTACCAGCCATTACCATTGGCGGTATGCGCTCCATTGATAGCATAGTTGACTGCCCATCGCATATCAAACGAGCTAGTCGTATCGGATTTCGTACTGTACTCACGTTTGTGCAGGCTCCAAAATGTAAATTCGAACCATTCATTATGGACGCATCACATTGCACTCGCCCATCCCAACAGAGGTTGGACCCGAACCCGGCATTAGTATTGCCACAATTTTCTAGACGCATTATCGCCGCCTCAACTGCGTCCATTGCGGAACCACCATTTTTGAGTATGTCTGTGGCTCGAACACCGGCTTCTTTGATAACGCGCTGGTATTTGGTTTCATCTATGCAATTTCCAGCACCTAAATAAAGAAGGGAAGTACATACAAATAATTATATGCATATGCATCATTCTTTTAATTAATTATTTAAAGGCCCCTACCAGTGTGGACTGCTACAAACCCGGTCATATTTGCAATTGCGTTAAAATAATGTATTGTACCTTCTTTTTTGGTTGTTGTTGCTTTGTATTGTACTTTCTTCCTTGAGAATCGCAGCGTAGACAAATAATTGCATCTTTGCATTGTACTACCATGGTATCCGCGAAACAATTCAGCAGTAGCAAGCGCGTGAAAATGCGAAGTAAATCGTGTAGCTCACATAATTGTATTCTTCCCAAGAAGCTACACGACGTACATACCAGGGATGAAAAAGTAGGTACAATTGTACTTTTTTCCGACGTTTGATAACTTAAAGGTACATTAGGTACAATCACTACATTTTAGGTACAATCATCTTTTGGTCCGATCCATTTTTAGTTTTTTTTTCTTTTTCTTTTACCGTGCTAATATACTTACTTGTAGGTATGAGAGAAGTTTCACTTTCATTTTGAAGAACAAACAATTCTAAAGGAAAGTGGTCAAAATGTGTCTAGGATTTCTTCAAATTTCGTATATTCTTTATTTGAGACAAAAGCTATTTGACCCATATTCGCATTTTGATTTCTGGAAATATATTTACAGCCATATTCTAATAAAGTCACAAACTTTAGCTCATCACTGGTGTGATTTCTACCGCGCCTCAAAGCTTACCGCTCAAAAAATATGCCGCTTCAAATCCATTTTTTAAATTTTTGTGTATTTTTCTAGCACTCAAAATCGAATTTTTTGTGACACATTTCTCGGCGCAGTTGAAATCACAACAGTGATGAGCTAAGTTTTGTGACTGTTAGAATAGAGGGGTTAAAGTACTTTCGAAGTTACTTACGGCAATTCCGATTATTTTCTCTAGACTTCCTGCACCTAATAAAAGGGATCGTATAAATTAACAGAATTTTCCTGTTGTTTTAAAAAACCTGGATGTAAAAGTAAACTTCGCAAAGTATTTTTCGCCAATATTTTTCAGTAGTCAAGATTAGACAAAAACAAATCTTCTCCGATTCCCATTAGACTATAGCCTGTAGATAACGCTAACGCTAACGCTACCTCAACCGCTGCGCCAATCGCCGGTGCTCCATTAACCGCCAACGCTGCTTCTTATGCCGCACTGCCTTATGCTCTCGCTACCTCAACCGCTGCGCCAATCGCCGGTGCTCCATTAACCGCCAACGCTGCTTCATATGCCGCACCGCCTTATGCTGTTGCTACCTCAACCGCCGGCGCCTCGCTCACCAACAACATTGCAATGCCGCCCCGTGTCATAGCGTCTACCGCCATTGCTGTATCTAACGCAGCACCATTTGTCGCTTCAACCACTACTGCCGGAGCCGTTGCCGCTCCAACTTTCGAAGCAATTTACGGAGCAGCGACCCATGACGCGCGTTCATACACTGGTGCAGGTGTTAGTACCTCACGAGTTTCTGGCTTTAATACTGTCGCCGCCAATTCTGCCGGAGGCTGCTCCTATGGTCATGCCGTATCTGCCAACGCTGCCATCGTTCAGCGGTCATCAATGAACAGCGCACCGCTCGCTTCAATTTCAGCTACGCCGTCTTTACATAGCAACGAAAGTAACACACTGCCACCACCATATGTGAACCATTGCATGAGCACACCAGCTGGGGTAATATTGCCTAGGAAACTCCAAGACTTGCCGGAGTTCAGTGGCCTAGCTGAGGATTGGCCATTGTTCATCAATGCGTTTGCGCAGTCTACGTCAGCATATTGGTACACATACTTGGAGAACAATCAACGTCTCCAAAAATGTTTGAAGGGTGAAGCTAGGGAGACGGTGAAGTCGCTGTTGATCTATCCGGACCATGTCGACACTGTCATCGAACAGCTCCGTTTTCGTTTCGGTTGTCCAGAGCAACTCATTCAAAGTCAGCAATCTGTAGTGAAAGACATTACCCCTATATCGGAGAGTGGAGTTGCAAGATTGATACCATTTGCTACCAAGGTAAAAAATTTGTCAGCATTTTTGCAGTCTGCCGGTGGTCACCAGCATTTAGCCAACCCAACTCTGATCTCCGATCTAATCAACAAGTTGCCAATGTCGAAAAGGATTGAATGGGCGCGCTACTCTTCAGCAATACAACCGTATCCCACCGTAGTACATTTTAGCGAGTGGTTAAGTGAAACCGCCAACTTAATATGCAGAGTTCAAGAACAGGAACTTCGAGAAACAGCGCCGTGTAGTCCTATATGCTTCTGAAGAGCAGCAGTCAAGTTCATCCAAATGTGTCATGTGCCAAGCCGGTCACAGGCTTCAAGAATGCAGACGGTTCATAACCGCTAGTGTCGCTGATAGGTGGAAGCTGGTTAAAGGTCAACGATTGTGCTTCGCATGCTTGAACAGAGGCCATTCATCACGAGACTGTCGACGTCGCAAAGTGTGTCCAGCCTACGGATGCAAGAGGACCCACCATAAGCTACTGCAC